TTGTAACTGTTCTGTTATTTTTACTGCTTTCACCATGGATGCATTGGTCCTCAAATAGTATTACTTTTTTGTTTACAAACCTTTTGGCTCATTTTTTTTTCTTCCAAGATGGTCTAGAAGCTCTTAAAGGAGTTGTTTCTTTTGTATCTCTTAAGAAAACCTAGCTCGTCTCTCTTCCCTTGATACCAGTTAATAGCACTTAATAGAATTAAAGTTAGAAAACTTAGATAATTATAAAATAATACAAAACATAATTTTATTCTTATATTTATATGCAACTCTCAACTACATATAGAGATACCTTAGAGATATTGTGTAGTCACTTCCAGACCACCAACATAAAGCAAAAATTGCAATAAAGCATTTAAAGTCACGTTTATACTATATTATCATCTATTGACTGCAATAGCATTATGTCTAAAAGTATACACAAAATTGGTCAGGTGCGATGGCTCACACCTGTAATCCCAGCACTTTGGGAGACCAAGGTGGGCAGACCACGAGGTCAAGAGATTGAGAACATCCTGGCCAACATGGTGAAACCCTGTCTCTACTGAAAATACAAACATTAGCTGGGTGTGGTGCCACGCGCCTATGATCCCAGCTACTTGGGAGTCTGAGGCAGGAGAACTGCCTGAACCTGGAAGGTGAGGGTTGCAGTGAGCTGAGATTATGCCACTGTATTCCAGCCTGGCAACAGAGTGAGACTCATCTCAAAAAGAAAAAAAATGTACAAAAATTTTTTAAATACTGTATTGTAAAACTTGTTGACAATCATTCAAGCCTTCAGCGGTTGTAATCTTTTTGCTAGTGGAGAGTTCTGCCTCAATGGAGATGACTAATGACTGACTAGGGTAGTGGTGGTTGAAGACTGGGGTAGCTGTGGCAACTTCTAAAAATAAGACAACCATGAAGTTTGGGGCATCAATTGACTCTTCCTTTCATAAAATATTTCTCTGTAGCATGTGATGCTGTTTGACAGCATTTTGCCCACAGCAGAACTTCTTTCAGAACTGAAGTCAGTCCTCTCAAATCCTGCCACTGCTTTATCACTAAGTTTACATAATATTCTAAATTCTGTTGTCATTAAAAAAAGGTTCACAGCATCTTTACCAGAAGCACATTCCATCTCAAGAAATCACTTTCTTTGCTCGTCCATAAGAAGCAATTCCTCATTCATTCATGAGACTGCAATAAGTCGGTCCCATCTTCAGGCTCCACTTCTGGTTCTCCTGCTGTTTCCATTATATCTATAGTTATTTTATCCACTTAAGGCTTGAACTCTTCAAAGTCATCCATGAGGGTTAGAATCAACTTTTTCTAGACTCCTATTAATGTTGATATTTTGACCTTCTCTCATGAATCACAAATGTTCTTAATGGCATCTAGAATGATGAATCCTTTCCAGAAGGTTTTCAACTTAATCTGCCCAGATCCATCAAAGGAATCACTATTTGTGGCAGATATAGCCTTATGGAATTTATCTCTTAAATAATAAGACTACAGAACAGAAATCACTCCTTGATCCATGGACTGGAGAATGAATGTTGTGTTAGCAGGCATGAAAACAATATTCACCTTGTTGTGCATCTCCATTAGAGCTCTTGGGAGACCAGGTGCATTGTCAATGAGCAGCAATATTTGGAAAGGAGTCTTTTTTTCCTGAACAGTAAGTCTCAAATGTGGGCTTAAAATTTCAGTAAAGCATGCTGTAAGCAAATATGCTGTCATTCCGGCTTTGTTCTTCTATTTATAGAGTACAAGAAGAATAAATTTAGCATAAATTCTTAAGGCCCTAGGATATTCAAAATGGTAAATGAGCACTGGCTTCAACTTAAAGTCGCCAGCTGCATTAGCCACTAACAGGAGAGTTAGTCTGTTTTTTGGGACTTTGAAGCCAAGTATTGATTATTCTTCTCTAGCTATGAAAGGATTAGTTAGCATCTTCTTCACATATAAGACTTAAATCTATTGTTTAGTGTACCCACCTTCTATCAGTGGTCTTAGCCAGATCTTCTGGATAACTTGCTGTAGCTTCTACATCAGCACTTACTGCTTCCACCTCGCATTTTTATGTTATAGAAACAGTTACTTTCCTTAAACCTCTCGAATCAATCTCTGCTAGCTTCAAACTTTTCTTCTACAATGTCCTTACTTCTCTCCCCCTTCATAAAACTGAAAAGAGTTAAGGCCTTGTTCTGGATTAGGCTTTGGTTTAAGGGAACGTTGTACTTGGTTTGATCTTCTTCCAAATCACTCAAACTTTCTCCATATCAGCAATAAGGCTGTTTTTTTTTTTTAATCATTCATGTGTTCACTGGAATAGCACTTTTAATTTCATTCAACAACTTTTCTATTGCATTAAAAACGTAATTAACTGGTGCAAGAGGCCTAGCTTTTAGCCTGTCTTGGCTTTCAACATGCCCTCCTCCCTAGGCTTAATCATTCCTAGTTTTTGATTTAAATTGAAAGGCATGTGACTCTTCCTTTCACTTGAAATACTGCAGGGTTATTAATTGTCCTAATTTTAATATTGTGTCTCAGGGAATAGGAAGGCCCAAGGAGAGGGAGAAATGGAAGAATGGTCAGTCACTGAAGCAATCAGAACACACACAACACTTCTGATTAAGCATACCATCTTCTATGGGTGCAATTTGTGACACCCCCAAACAAGTACAACAGTAACATCAAAAAATCACTGATCACAGATCACAACAGATATAATAATGAAGAAAAAGTCTGAAGTACTATGAGAATTACCAAAATGTCACACAAAGGCACAAAATGAGCACATGCTGTTGGAAAAATGGCATCAACAGACTTGCTTGACACACTTGCCAAAACTTCAAATTTGTAAAAAAATGCAAGATCTGCAGAGTGCAATAAATCAAAGTGCAATAAGACGAAGTATGCCTATATTTTGTAAATGAGTTAATTCTCAACTAAAATGGTCATTTACTCTTTTCTCATTTACAAAATAATCTCTTCATAACCATTTCCCTAATTTTTCTTGTCCTTTACAAGTTAAACTTCCATTTTCTGTCTAAATAGAACCATAATTTGAAGACAGTATTTCAATACTGTTTAAATAGGTTCTAAAATGAAGAATGGCCAACTAGTTTTTTATAATCACTTTCTTCAGCTAACTGCTTTGGTATTAACCCACAGTGATGAAAACAGGTTCTTATTTCTGATAATCGTAAAGGGATGTTATTAAAATGATAATGTGGATCTATCTTTATTGATGCAGAAGAAGTCCATGACATAGTGTACAGTGTGAAAAGCATACAAGATATGATTTCATTATGAAAATGTGTGTATGCGGAGGTGCTTACATGCATCTCTGGGAAAATGTTCATTTAAATATTAAGAGTAGTTATGGAAGGGTAGTAGAATGGTGGATGCTTTTAACTTCCTTCTTTACACTCTTCTGAAATGTTTCAAATATTTAAAATGAGCCTGTCTATCTTATGGGGGAACAGAAACTTCAACTTCAACTATACCAGGTTAATGTTAGTTCTTTAAAATATGTATATATTTGAAATAGACCCTAATTTAAAACAGGAAAAATGTTAAAGAATAATAAAGCATCACACTGCCATGTGTGTACCTATGCAACTCTCTTGCATGTTCTTCACACGTACCCCAAAACCTAAAATGCAATAAAAAAATAAATAAATAAAATTTAAAAAAATAGTAAAACGAAACTAGTACATGCATACAAAAAGTGAAGGTAAGAGTCAAATTGGTTATATCTGGTTGATTTTTATTTTCTCCAGACTTATATTTGCCTATTTTTTCACAATGAACACATTTCACTTTTATAAAAGCTCTTAAGACTAAATTTATTATTTATTTATTTATTTTATTGTTTTTGGAGACAAGGTCTCACTCTGTCACCCAGGCTAGAATGCAGTAGTGTGATCATAGCTCAATGCAGCCTCAACCTTCTGGGCTCAAGGAACACTCACATCTCAGCTCCATCCCCAGCAGCCAGGACTACAGCTGCATGCTACTACACCCTGCTAATCTAAAAAAAAAAAAAATGTAGAGAAGGAGTTTTGCTATGCTGCCCAGTCTGGTCTCAAACTCTGGGCCTCAAGTGATCTTCCCACCTCAGGCTTTCAAAATGCTGGAATTACAGGCAGGAGCCATTGTGCCTGGCCCAAGACTAAATTTAAAACTTGGTAAATTTGTGTGTGTGTGTGTGTGTGTGTGTGTGTGTTGTTAAGTACAGGCCTTTTATTTAAAGGAGAGACATTTAAACTTTTCAAGTCAGAGTTTCTCAAGAAGCTTTCTTAATCACTTCAAGTAAGTTGCCAAATACCTTGTAAAACAAGTTTTAACATTAGGCTTGGGCAATCAGAACACATACATTTATTAAGTATGCCATCTTATATGGTGCCATTTGTGGTGCCCCAAAACAATTTAAATGGTAACACTAATGCAATTTTCTTCTTGTTGTGGTTGTTCTTACTGCAGTTCATTTAATGTTAAAAATAACACATTTAAATTTTTTCTATTGTTATAATATTTAATTCATATTTTATACAATAATTTGAATCCTGGAAAAATAATATTGGTATATATCCAATCGCAGGATTGAAAAGATGGAGGAGCTCATGAGGGAGATTCTGGCCTCACTATCAAGGAAGTGACAGCCAAACTAACTAAAATTATCTGGTCCTTCTCTGCATCGTGAAAATGTCTAAACAAAGACTCCATTATTGCTTTCGGCAATGGCCAAAACCTGAAGATGAAAATATCCTCATTTTATCTAATGAAAATGTTCTCTACTTTAATTAAAATCCACTTGGTCTTCCATAAACAGAAAATAATTAATCTATTTGTTTTAGGAAAAATGTTGCCATACTTGAAAACAGTATGTTTTCTCTTTACTTCCTTTCCTTAGAGATTTATTTTTAAATCATTTTTTCCATTAACCGTTGACTTAGAAGAAACCTGAAAGTTCACAGTAGCTTCCTTTGTTTTCTATATACCTCAATAGCAGCTCCACTGTCAATCCTTATGTGAGGAACTTTTCCTTCTGTAAAGTTGCCCCGACCCCAATGTTGTTGAGATGCTTTTCTCTCTACATTTGAGGTTCTTGAGAGCTGGTTCCAAAAAGAAATACAAAAAAAAAAAAAAAAAAAAAAAAAAAAACCTTTAAGATGCAATATTTTTGGTTGACAAAGAACCCTAATTTAGATAAAGATAACCTTTAACATGTGCCATGTTTACTATGCATAAGACTGTTTACTGTCTTTTTCAAATTCTAAGCCCTATATAATTCATTGGCTCATGAGGCTAAAGGAGAACTTAAGAAGTTACTCAATCCAATCCCCTGAATCTAGGAAAGTCTACATGATAACCAGCAGAGCAGATTCATCAAAGCTTACCTAGTGATTCTCTGAAATCAAAGAAGGCAACGTTAGCTTTCTCAATCAATCTCCTTTCACAGTGTAACAACCATCTCAAATAGCTTATTCATAAATTATTGCCCACTCAAAAAATATGCTTTGAGTGCAAATAACATAGTAACAACTCAGTCAGAGACATCCATATGACAGTAGCTACATAGCAATACAAATGGGAAATAATAGTCAAGGGAGAACATATGAAAAAGGTACAATTTTGAGGAAAGGGAACCTGACTTTTTTTAGACTTACTGCTCTCTGTCTCCAAAGTTGTACTCTATCAAATATAATCTTACATACTGCCTGCCTATTCTATATAAAGATGAATATGGCCGGGCACAGTGGCTCATGCCTGTAGTGCCAGCACTTTGGGAGCTGAGGCAGGTGGATCACTTGAGGTCAGGAGTTCAAGACCAGCCTGACCAAAACAGAGAAACCCCGTCTCTAAAATACAAAAAAAAAAAAAATACCTGGGTGTGGTGGCGCATGCCTGTAATCCCAGCTACTGAGGAAGCAGAGGTAGGAAAATCACTTGAACCCAGGAGGCGGAGGTTGTGGTGAGCTGTAATTGCTCCATTCCACTCCAGTCTGATCAACAACAGCGAAACTCCATCTCCCCATGAAAAAAAAAAGATGATCAAAATCCATACAATTGGGTAGCCATAGATTTATTTCTAAATAATGCAAACTGATTTTGTAAAGTATAGTTAATATTCCACTTAGATAACCACAACTTAAATAACAAAGCCATAACCACCCTTTATTTAGCCACACCCATAAATCTCATTCTCTATCAGTTGAAGAAAATACTCAAAAATTCAGATTTAATTCAACTTGAAAACCAATTCATGTATCTATAAACCATTTAAAAAATAAGTTGGGATAACATGTTTTCCTTGTGTCCCGAGAAATAATTAATTTGAGTAGTGGTTGGAAATATCATAAAACAAGTTACTAACCAAATTTGCTCACCTCTTCTGTGAGAAAGAAATGTTTACTAGTTATGAAGGCAATGAATTAGCTAACAAGGACTCACGGGATATGGATGAAGCTAGGGGTGGCATTAGGGAATGGATGTCAACTTGTGCTTAGATGTGAAATCTTTGATATTTACCAAATCTTTCCCAGAGGTTATGTCTCTGTTGATATCTTTTTCTTTTTTTCTCTCCAGTGAAATTAAAGATTCTGAGGGACCAATGCTTGATGTCTGTGACATTTCCACCACCAAAACTGAAGGAACGCTTGTTTTGCTGGAAGATACACTAAGTGCATCTTCTTGAGAAGCAGATGAACAGTCAGGGCATTTTGTGGATTTTTTATCTAAGCCATTATCAGCCATTTGTTTAACTCTGCAACAAAAGCAGAGTTTCCACTGTTTAAGGAAGAAAACCAGACCAAAAAGGATAAGGTAGTTGATGGTGAAAACTGTAACTTTGAACTGGTGGAGTCCTTAGGTTAAGGATGCGCCAGACACATATTCACACATGAGAGCTGCAGAAAGAAAAGAAATCACCATTTAGAAAAATTCTTATCCTATTACTGCCCTGGAAATCAGAGAAAAGATAGCAACTAGCACTAGAAGCATCCTGTAGAGACATGAAAAGGACAAAATGGGATCACGAAACTGCTGAAAAGCATGGTCTGAAACAGTGTCTTATCAAACTGCTATAGTGGGTTATGAAATCCATTTTGTAGGTTGATACCAATCTTTAAAAATAAAGTAGAATCAAATAGATTATATAGAGTATTTAGCATACATCCTTAGAAATTTCTGTGAAACTTTTAATTAGACAGACATATACATATAGATTGTGTGTGTGTGTGTGTGTGTGTGTGTGTGTGTGTGTGTACTTGATCACAGTATGAAATATATTTCTTAATGTGGGTTGTGGTTGTTTTAAAGGCTTAAAATACTGGTATAAACTATACATTACTCTGGTTTCAAATTTTAAACCTTAATCTATTTATTATTAGAGCAAATCCTATTACATACTTTACAAAGGAGTGAATAATTTGATTTTTATAAAACTACCTAATCCTAAAATTTAAAGACAATATCGTAAGTATCCTCATTCTTATATTCAGCAAAAATAAAAATGAGTGGGTGCTATTTTTTCTTGAGTCTAAAATAGGTATGGTGGCATTTTACTTAAGTAGGACCATTGGCAGCTGCATGGTGGCAAGTTGGAAAGATCTCAGTTAAGGAAGAAAAATACGCTCTGCAGTACATATAAAGGAGTACCCTGAGAAACTTCCAGAAGTAACTGAGAGTACATTATTATGGTTTTATGCTATACAATTTCAGACAGTCTTTAAAAGTAGATTTTGTAGTCATAGATTGATAAAGCTGGGGATGTGTGCAATATACTTTTATCCTTTGAACTGGAATAAGTTTGACTAGAATAGGAAATTAGATATATTTATATCATTAAAAAAATATCTGGTTTTCTCGTTTTTTGCTTTTCTTTTCCTCCAACTCCCAGTTCAAGTGATTCTCCTGCCTCAGCCTCCTGATTAGCTGGGACTACAGGCATATGCCACCACACCTGGCTAATTTTTTGTATTTTTAGTAGAGACAGGGTTTCACTGTGTTAGTCAGGATGGTCTTGATCTACTGACTTCGTGGTCTTCCCGCCTCAGCCTCCCAAAGTGCAATGATTACAGGCGTGAGCCACCACACCCAGCCAGAAATATCTGGTTTTCCAATCAGAAAGCTGTGATGACTTTTATCAAATCCTTATCTAATGTGAATGGCAGGAAAATCTGCCAGGCCCATAGGATTTTATAAAAAGATATTGCTAGTAGTTTATCTAAAAGTTGTTCTCCCATTCTTTCTTACTAACAGAATCCTGATTTCGTTTGGGGCAGCAATATACTCATTAATATCCTACATTTCCTGGCTTCTCTTTCAGATTAGGGAGAGCCATGTGACTTATGGCCATTAAGCTTAATAGAATGCAGGCAACGCTGCACTTAAAAGAAAATTTATGGCCGGCACGGTGGCTCAAGCCTATAATCCCAGCACTTTGGGAGGCCAAGGCGGGTGGATCACGAGGTCAACAGATCGAGACCATCCTGGTCAACATGGTGAAACCCTGTCTCTACTAAAAATACAAAAAATTAGCTGGGCATGGTGGTGCATGCCTGTAATCCCAGCTACTCAGGAGGCTGAGGCAGGAGAATTGCTTGAACCCAGGAGGCAGAGGTTGCGGTGAGCTGAGATCGCGCCATTGCACTCCAGCCTGGGTAACAAGAGCGAAACTCCGTCTCAAAAAAAAAAAAAAAAAAAAAAAAAAGAAAATTTATACTGTTAAACTTTTATTAAAATCAGAAAAAGGATAAAAATATACTAAGTGTGCAGTCAAATCTAAAAGATAGAAAAATATGACTAAAAAGCAAGATTAAGGAACAGAAATGACAAAGAAATTTTGTTGAATTTTGCCTATAAGGTCCCCAATAAACGGAGTCTTCATTACCTCTCAGCTTTCATATCTCTCTCTCAGATACAGTAGCCTCTTTCTGCTCCTCAATATGCCAAGTATACTCCCTGCTCAAGACTTTGCCCTTATGCCTCCTCTCTCTAGGATGCTCCTCTCTCAAACGTTTACACGGTCTGCTCCCGTGCATCACTCTGGCATCTGCTAATTTGAAAAGCTTTCCTAACCACCTCATCTAAAACAACAGGCCCATTCCCCCTACTCCCTTACCTTGCTTTGTTTTTCTTCATGACACTTATCATTTTACTCAGGAAGTTTCATAGCAGAGTCCTTTCCTATTTTTAGTTAACAGATGATTCCTATATAAATGGTTTCAGAGCATGCAAAGCCATCCAGTTCATTTTATTCAGTTAGAATAACCAAAATTTGACCATGGTAGTGTTTCCCAAAAAAGGGATTTATAGGCCAATCTCATTTGTGAACAGATTTTAAAATCCTAAATGTTGTATTTACATTTACCCCAGGTAATGTATACAGTGTATTACAAGATTATTAGATAGAATTAATAGATAAGTCAGCTCACTAAATATGACCTTTCATCAAAGTGGTGGGAAAAAAATTCTATTGTGATTAAAACTCATAATGGAGAGTATGGGGACAGGCATGTTAAAAGTGCCCTCCAGACAGGCAGAGGAAGAAACGAATGCAACTGATGCCACTGAAAACACACATACACGTGCGCACACGCATGCACGAGCGCGCGCACACACGCACACACACACACCCCTCTTATAAACACTTAACCTTGTTTTTCAAGAATATGTAGCAAGACAAAATTCAGAATGTACCTGCAACACTTTGCAAAATGATTTAACTTCAGGCCTAGAAGAAAATGTTTTGCATTTCAGGTTAAATATAAAACCTATAACCATCAATGACTCAGAGCAGTGCAGTAGATCTGTAAATAGTCCGCTTTCTGTTTAGGAAAAACAGTGCTTTCTCTCTGCAGGTGTAGAGAAGTGCCACATCAGATGTGTAAAACATCATTTTTTTGAACACATTAAGAATACTGATTTTGTAGTACATTTTATAAGAAACTGTAAGAAGTGTTTGTAACCTACATGTTTATTTAACTGCCATTGAGTTTCTTCATGATAAACAGTACTCCTAAAAGCATAATTACCATATCCTTCAAGGTTTATAAATATATATATTCACAAATTTTCAACAGAATCTTTAAATATTAAAATTTTCATTTTAAGATAGATTTTTGGGGATCTAAAAACAGCTATTCTTTTCTTAGCTTTGTTCAGAAAGCATTTCCTTTAATTTTTCATCAATTTTTCAATAAGTCATTATCATATCACTGTCATAGACTTCTGAGTACTTTCTCACTCCAGTCTTCTGATTTATCAGTTGCCTACAAGTATTTGGTAGCTATATTCAAAAGCATAGGAATTCTTCCTATTACTCACTGAGAAGTTTCATCTTTACTCTCCAGCCTACCAAGCCCTACACTTGCCAAAGTAATGTTCTAATTTCTTACCACAGCAATTCTAAAACAATAGGTTGAACAGCTGCATGCAAAATTTCTTGACAAGAATTAGATTTCAAATTTAACTTCTTTTTGGCTGGCTGAATTCTAATTATTTTAGCTTAAACAAAAACCAAGATAGAACAAATGTTTACTCACATTTATTTCTTTCTCATTTATGAATTGATCTGAAAGATTTGTTACTAAAACAAATCTACTATCTCACAGGACAAATGATGTCATTCATATTTTAGAGGCTTAAAATGAATCAAGTATTGCGAAGTTATGTAAACACAAAGCTTAATAGCTCTTTTTCTATAGAATCATGGAATTATGTTTAAACAGGACTTTAGATATAAAAATATGTATTAGAAAACCAAAGAATCTTCTAATACAATAGTGTTTCTTTGTGTCTCCAAAGCTTGGACATACATAGGTATTAGACATAATATAAGCAAATAAAATAAGTTCAAATCATGTCAGTATTTAACTAAGGCATGGGCCTTCCATTGGCTAAAGGCTTTCATTTTATTTTTAGAACTAAGGCAAGTCAATAAAACAACTCTGATACTGAAAATCTCTGAGCTTTTATTTAATCATAAAAAGGTCTCTTACATATTGGCCCTAGAAGATACACTTATAGCAATTTCCTCAAGAAAATGAACACAAGAATGGTTTTATAAGATATAACTACCTACAATTTTCTTCTCCAAAAGCAATTTTTTTTTGTTTTCTTTGCTAAGACTGTGTCTACAAGAAACCTAAATAGTCAATTCAGTTAAAAATGTGTTTTATTCAAGTAAAGGGAAAAAAATTATGAATTCTCTGACATTCTGCAGACCAAGCCAAATGACTGACTGTTTTTGTAATATGTTTACAAAGCCTAAAGAAGGGCCCAAAGAGTTTTCTAGATCATATTGCTATATTTTAAGGAAGACTAGCACTTGTTTATTGCTTTCATTAAGGGAATGATTAAGAAAATGAGTCTGTATTGCCTTATGAAAAGATTTACAGTATATTTAAATTTTACATTATTTAAGAATTTAAAAAAATGTTTAATGATTGATGTTTGCTATTAATTTCTTTTTTCTATTTTAGTTTGCATGATGTTCCTCACTGAATAAGCTGTAATACGGAAGGACAGTCTTAAGTGTGGCCCCTATACTGACAGTTAAGACCCAGAACAGAAATTGCAGTTCAGAGACACTGGATAAACCAGGAAACCATCTCCCCAATTCTTCCCTGTTGATATCAGTCTCTCCTCCCTCTCCATTATAAGCAACCAGAAGCTGGCTGGGCACAGTGGTTCATGCCTGTAATCTCAACACTTTAGGAGGGAAAGGTGGGCTGATCACTTGCGGTCAGGAGTTCAAGACCAGCCTGGCCAACATGGTGAAACCCCATCTTTACAAAGAAATTCAAAAATCAGCCAGGTATGGTGGCTTGCTCCTGTAGTCCCAGCTACTCAGGAGGCTGAGGTGGGAGAATCACTTGAACGCAGGAGGCAGAGCTTTTAGTGA